AATTTGAGATTTTTCAACGCCATTCTTGGATGAAAAATTGAGAAATACTGATCTTTTGAACTACAGGAAAAAACAGTGAAATTTTCAAAGAAAAGCAAAATTTTCTTCTTAGAAAAAGTTTCTTCGGATATTTTCTGAAATTTTGGACTTTGAGTGAAAAACCTGAGTTTTCCATTTCTGAGAAAATCGAGAAAAATCGAAAAATACTGGCTAGTCCAAAAATTCCGAAACACAAATTTTTCAACTCAGTTTGTAATTCTAATTCCGAAAATGGCGTTTTTTGTGTCGAAAATTTTAATTTTAATAGAGGAAACGGCAAAATACGAGCTCAATTTCATTGGTTTTTCACTCATTTCGAAAAAGTTGACTTTCTTGGCAACAAAACAAAATTTTCCAAAAAGGATATTTAACTTTCTCATAAGTATCGCGATCAGAATGAATTAATAGAATGATTTTATCTGCAAAATCGTAGGAAAAGATAGATTCATAAGGTTGATCGACAGCCCCTTTACCATTCTGGTTGTGTTTCGCAGATTCTGAGTCCATTTTAGCTTCTAAACTTTCCAAAATTAGCTTCCAGACTCAGCGTTCGACAGAAAATAAGAAAAAAATGGTTTTAGAATTTTGAAAGGCAATCAAACAGGAAAATTTCACTGTTTTTTCCTGCAGTTCAAAAGATCAGTATTTTTCAATTTATCCATCCAAAAATGACGTTCAAAAAACCTTAAACTGCCGCGATAACGAGCAGCACGGAAAATGACGGTACTAGAACTGAGAACAGTCTGAAAGATTTCCTGCCCAAGCAGAAAACGTTAGGCCCACCAGCCACCGAATTTTGGTGGCTCAACGGACACGGCCCGGCAGCCTAAAAATCTGAATTACAATTATTAGCAACAGCCTAAAAATAAAATAAAAGCTTCAACTTTATCCCTTACTACCAGTACCAAGCACTTAAAGTCCGAATAGTATCAAAATGGTAAATAATAAAGCAATTAGTGATGAAAAGTAATACTAATGTAGCAGCCCTAGTTGACAATGAACATTTAGGGCTTTTCTTGTAAATTCTATAACTTTGCAAAGAAAGGTCATGTAGAGTTGGGAAAGGTCTCATTTTAATCAGAAATGTGCGAACTACGAGCATGGCTCATTAAGAAAAGCTCTGGTTGTTTTTCCCGGTTTCAGCAAACCGGGTCTTCGAAGCTCTAAGAGCAGCTCTCATGCATGAAATATATCTGTGCTTTGCTACTCCTGACTTATATAGTGAGTTATATACTGAGTTATACCCGAATAATGAGTTTGGTGTTGGAAAATCAAATGGACGTTCATTTACAATATACATAGAAAGGTATATTTACAACGTAGGGGAAGTCAGCAGCAGATTTTTATATTTTCGCCTAGTATTTTTATTAATAACTGTGCAAATTTTGCTGTTGAGCGTGCCAGATAGAACTCGATGAGCTCTATTGGATGCCAAAATTAGTTTTCAAAAATATTGTTTCCTTAAGTTTTAAAATACAAAACGCTAATTTTTTCAGTGAGACAAAAACTCAAAATTTTGTATTTTGGGCTAATATTTTTATGAAAGCTGTACCACCTCTGCAAAGAAGTAAACCAGTTCGACCTGACGAGCTCTATCGAATGGCATATTTGAATCTAAAAGATATTTACAGGAAAACAATCTGAGAGTAACATACTGTATTTTATGACCCTTTAGCCTTTTTATTTTGACCTAATATTCTTACTGACAACTGTGTCAACTCTAAGAACAATTATACCAGATAGAACTCGTCGAGATCTTTCGAATGGTATATTCACTTTTAGGTACATTGCTCCGTTCAATTGCTACAAGCATTTTTTGAGTTTTGTTCTTGGGAGCCACATGTTGAAATTGGTCTGTTGACCTAATAGTCACAACGAAAACTGTGCCAATTCTAAACATAAATGTACCAGGTAGAAATCGACAAGCTCTATAGAATGATATATCCAGTGTTTCATTATATTGGTTCCTTCAATTATTACCAGCTTTTTATTAGTTTTAGCCTCGTTCATAGTTCATCACAAACACATTCAGTATATAACGATTGTATCGAAAATGATTTGCGTACGTGACTTTCGTTTGTTATTATATTTACTTTTTGCTAAAGTCTGTAGTTTTGGCCGTTCGAGACTGATCCCAACATAATATATTGGAATATTACTGTTAAAAATGACCCTTTCAGCAAAGTTCACAATAGTCTCTCGGCAAGTCTCTCGTCTTATTAAAAAAAAGTTATAGCCATTTTCCCCTCGCAGCGGAAAAACGTATTTTCCGGTGGATTTGATCTAACTTGTAGAACGTTCGCTGACCATATTCTCTAACGCAGAACCTTGAGGTTGGTATCAAATAAAAGAGGGCGCCGAGTTGTATATATTTCGATGGAGAACAGTTATGCTACATCTCAGTGTCCTGAAATAGAGATTTCTGAAAAATTCGGTTTTCTAGAAAATCTGGTGACCTGAAAATATCTTTCAGAAGCTTTTCCATTTTATTGAATAACCCCTTCAATTCTCCACGAAATGAGATGCTGGCCAAGTTTCTAGGATCTTGGACAACCGAGTTACAGGCTTTTCAACATTACGAATATAAATTCATTCGCTTTAATGTCGTTTTCGATCTGTATCGTATTTTCTACGGCACTTTTTGACACAACATCGTTCAGATTCTTATAAATTTCTTACCAGAACCAGTGAATCTCTTATCACTTTCATGCAACTTCTTATATAAGAAATTCGTTAGAAACGTATAAAATTTTTATAAGACATTTATCTGATTCTTGTCAGCTTCTTATAAAAGCCCCTTATCAGATTCGTATAGAGCCAAAGTTTTCCTTTGTTTTTTATCTACACATGTGGAGTGTTTTTTGTGCTCTGGCTGTCCATGACGCTAAACTATCTCATTTCAAATGAAAAAATCCAAAAAAGTCTAAATCGAAAAAAGTCGGTATTTCGGTGTAGATACCGATACCGGTGCGTAGCGATACTAGTTGCAGTGAATGTTAGTTTAAAATTAATCTGAGCGATGCAAGCGGGCGTATTATAAACTATTCATAAAAAATCGATAACTAGGTACGTCGTGTCACAACTCATCAGTTGCAAGCACAGCTTCCGGTTTTATATTCTTTTCTTTATTATTTATTTCTGTCTTTCTAGTAATTTCTCGACTAGTTCTAGTTCTTTTTTTCACAATAAGATCTTATCATATTCAAGGAGTAATGAATATATGAACTGTTAATTTATTGCACGACTATATCGGATGGGATCCGGCCGTTATAACACACAATTACTATACTGTATTTTGCTCAAATCTTTACACTCCTTTTAAGAAACTATTTATTTATTCTGTGATGCTAAGTAGAACCAGTTTTTGTTATGTGTGGGTATTATCACATCTGCTTGTTGTATACTACGAGATGGACGTGATATGCCTTCTTTCATTTTATTTTAATGTCTTGATAACAATATATGTCGCGCTACTACAGTGCTACTACATGAAATAAAATTTAGCTCTGTTAGATCATGTTCTCAAATGTGCTTATCTGTCGACAGTAACTGTATATGTATCTTGTATCAAAATTGATCTGTCTCTCTTATTTACGTACAAATTTGACAAAAATAATCCAGAAATTTCTTTACGTTCAACTATAGTGGCACACGAACATTTGAAACAAGTTGAATAGATTAGAAAAAACCTCTTTTCAAGATAAAACAGACCTATATTGAATCAAAAAAATAGAAATAATTTTACAATCGAAAAGTTCTAACTGAAAATACACTCAGAAACATTTTCAGCCTCTCACACAGACAAAAGAGTCTAGTCTTCGTGTGAAAAACACAAGATTAACGTTATCTCTCAAATATCTTTTAGAAGGTAGACTAAAATTCTAATCTGATATTTTTCTCTTACTCACCTGAATGTTAAAGATCGAAAGTAGATCATAAAATTCTATTTCATTTATCCACTTGTCAACGTGTATCTCAGAACAAAAGTGATCGAGATGATGTCTTCAAGCGAAATATTATTCGTATTCCAGTAAAAAAACAAAAAAGCAGAAAACAATGCGTGAAAACAGTTAGAGATCGAGTTAGTAACTCGTATATTTCGAACGAGATAACAAATATTTCATCTAAATATAATTATGACAAAATAGTCTGATGTTTCATCATATTTTATATTGATAATTTTAAAGGTTTTATCGATGCATTAAAATCGAAAATCTGTTTTTTATATTAATATATTACCGTTTGATCTCATTAGAAAACAGCTCAATGCTATTATTTATTAATATTTTGTTCAATAAAGTATTTGTCAATTTAATAGTGCAATGTTTTTCGATAATTTCCTTTATTACTACGCTGTTTAATCTCAATGATGAAAAACGTATTCGTTGATAATAAGAAGATGAGTGCACATTTGATACGATGATCGAAAAGTGCTGAAATCTTCTGCAGTTCGTAAGAAAGAACAACAGAGACGGTTATCAAGACATTAATATAACATGAAAGCAGACATGTCCCGCCTATCTCGTCGTATTATGAGCAGATGTGACAATATCCACATGTTACACTTGTTTTATTCATTTGTATATAAACGTGACAAGACCTTGTCAGAGAAAAAACAAATACATTTTTGCTATTCAAAAGAAAATATTTATAATACTAACTTTTTTCTTCACTTTACGCTGAATAGTAAGTACATGGTTTTAGTTTTAACTAGCCATCACGAAAGAAAGACGAAAAAACAACTTATTAGAGAAGAAGAAGAAGAAGAAGGAAAAAAAGCAGAACAAACTGGACGAAGGACACATCTATCTCTATTTCGTAGTAGTTTTGTTATTATATACATTTCTATCAAAAGATAACCGTTGCTAAGAATATATATAAATCAGAGTTCATATCTAAATCATTATATTAATACGCTGTCGAAAAGTTGATATGTTTAAGTGAATAGTTGTACTTTATAGATGATGTCCAATCATACACAAATATCGAATGGTGAACAATCTAATTTTAAGTCGAGTTTAAATTCTCATGTTAAAGACCTAAATGTTGATTATTACTATCATTTGGGTCTAAATAGTACGTTTGATTTAAAATCGAATTTTGGTGATGTTAAATATGTTCTTATGTGTGGAAGTCCAATAAGAGCTTATGAAATTATTCAGCGTGCTATTCAGGCATTAAAAATTCAGTTACCCGTTGGACAAACTGTAGCTCCCATTGGTAAGTGTTATAATTCTAAGTTGTTTCTTCGTTGTTTTCTTAATAACTTTTGACAGAAATGAGATAGAGATCTGCGGTTTTCGGATTCTGAAACTAGACACTTTGAGATATAAACCTATAAGAAAATCAGGACTCTCGCTTAGCCTCACCATGGTCTACCATCCGAGTCAAATCCAAAAGCTTAGCGTTCCGAAACCACACTATGAAGTCCGATTCCAAATAATATCAATCGATAGCCAAAACACTGTCCTTCAAAACTTTTTCTAAAGTTGTGATTGAGTGAAGAACGAAATGAACATCGTCACGATGATCAGGATGATTACCTATGATCCACATGTTTCTAAGATGCCTAGACGTGTCTGGAACGAGACCGATGTGTCCTCGGATAACGTCTGTATCTGTAGAGCCAAAGAAAATGAAAACCTGAGCCTTGCGTAGTTTTGAAGGGCAGTGTTTTGGCTATCAACTGGTATTATTTGAAACCGGACTTCGTAGTGTGATTTCGGAACGCTAAGCTTTCGGATTTTGCCTCGAATGGTACACCATGGTGAGGCTAAGCGGGAGTCCTGATTTTCTTATAGGTTTACATCTCAAAGTGTCTAGTTTCAGAAACTGAAAACCGCAGGTTTGTGTCTCATTTCTGTCAAAAGTTATTAAAAAAACAACGAAGTGCACGGTGCTTTGGCGTCGACAGTAATTTAAACTATCAGAGTTAAATGGCATACAGACGGATTTATATACAAAGTCAAGATGTGTATCAATATCAAAGGTCTTGTTATTTCGTAGCGAGAACATTGAAATTTTAGGTGATCGAAAATAGACTCATTTGTAGTCGGTGATCGTTGTAGGTAAAACAGAGCGATATAGTATGTTCAAAGTTGGTCCTGTTATTTCAATTTCTCATGGTATGGGTAAACCATC